AACAAATACAATATAGACGGATTAAGTCTATTAACGATGATGCTTTTAGGGAAGACATCAATACGATAGCCAACGAACTGGAGTCTTGCAACAATCTAGATGTACTAGTATCTAAATATAATATCCATATATATAACAGTTTATGTACAGAGTTAATTGATAAACACGCACCTATAAAAACCAAATGTTTCACTGTAATTCCTTTTGTTGTCTGGTTTAACACCCAGGCTCAACCTTACAAAACAACAGTACGCAATGCCGAGAAAAGATAGCGTAAACATAGAACTAATCATAACCGAGATATTTTCTGCAAACTACGTAAGTCATACAAACATTACTTGGATATGACTAAAAAAAACCTATATGCGAGCCAAAATTGAGTCAGACGGCAATAATACAAAAAGGTTTATTAATACTGTCAATAACCTCATAGGCAATGTTAAATCCTACCCTCTGCCATACACGCTACTGACACTAGTTTAGAAAATGAATTTGCCGAGTACTTTTATAACAAAGTCGATAAGATTCGGAACAAACTTGACAAGTTACTAAACTTATAAACAAAGCTAAACCGACAACATGTCAAAGAGATCCAATACCATCAACACTTATATAAAGACATATGATATTTTTGCAAGATCCATCTGTCACATAATTAATACATCGTTTGCATCCACACCGGAAATACGCAATAGTTAAGCCGCTTCTAAAATAGTCTAATCTAGACGAATTTAATATCTTCGGCAGCAACAGATTATTACCCAAAGCATCTACAAATAAGATGGTCATTGCTGATACTGTTGTAGACAGGTCAGACTGTGTGAAGCTTCTAGGAGTTCCATTTGATCAAAACCTCAATCTCAAAAAACCTCAATCTGCTAAATCCAAAGTGGCCGCGATTGCTATGTACAAACTGAAAAAGATCCGTCGGTATTTGGACCGTCCAACTTGTATCATATTGGCAAATGCTTTAATTTTCACACATATGGACTACTCCAATGGCCTTTTTATTCATTTCTTCAAAAAGCCATTAGCTCCCTTGCAAAGAATTAAAAACTTAACATTGAAAATCATAATTAACTGGTCAAAATATGACAGTGCAACTGAAGCATTAAAACAATTACATATTCTTCCAGTGGCCGTCCGATCGGAGTACAAAATATTAATTTTAGCCTTCAAGTGCATTCATGGCCTTGCTCCACCCTATCTCAGCGATCTCCTTACTCTTAAAGTACCCACTCGCACTAAAAGATCGGCTTCCAGTACTATATTCCATATTCCATTCACCAGATGTTCCCCATTTGCTGACAGAACTTTCAGCATAGCTGGTCCTCGTTTATGGAATCGCTTACCAGAAAACTTAAGGCAGATGGATAACCTCACCTCCTTTAAAACGGCACTTAAAACTCATTTTTTTCCCGTTCCACTTTTTATTAACTGTGTATTGTGAAGCGCCAATGAATGCATAGTTTTTAACTAAGCAGTTTTGTGCGCTATATTAAATGTCATAACCATAACCATACCGGCAAGTCACTCTATATTCCGGCAACACCGTGAATGGAGGTGTAACCTCTATGGAACTTCGAATAACAGCCGGCTGAGACTGAGAGGGAAATATTAAACAAGGCAAAATAATATACTTTAAAGAATAAAAGTGAATTGTTTATATTGTGTGTGTGTGTGTTTTTGTTTTTTTTTTTATCGTAATTTGGATGCTCTCTTTTTTCGACCGATTTTATTGTAAATTTTTATATTATTGATTTTTTACAATTTTTTTTATATTTTGATTATATATGACTTTGTACTTGAATTTGGTTTTTAATTGTACTTATGATGTTTCCTTCTGTATTTTCTGATTGTGTTCCTTAACCGTAAATTCGTACTTCAATTCACCTCATTGGGCTGTTACTGTACTTTTTAATAAAGAAAGAATAAATTAATAATTTTATCATTTAGAATCTAATAATTCCAGTTGCGAGATAAGATTCAAGAGATTCTTATTCCTATGCTATATACCAAAAACAATATCAAGATTCCAGTTGCGAGATTGAAGAATCATGATGTTTCTAATTCTTTGACTAGAAAAATAGTCTTATACAACTGTAAAAAAAGAATATACTAGGTTTATTTGCATATATACACATCACGTAAATAAAGACACACATAAGCCCACACTTAAGTAGGCCTATATGACAATTATACACTAAATTTCCTGAAAGGACAAGCACTTTGTAAGACACATCTATCATACTACTGAGGGCTCAAATTTAGCAAAATTACAAATCAAATGCATTTATGTTTTATACGAATGATATAGCATTGATTGAATATCAGGTAAAATGCCAACTTATCTAATGCAGAACAGGGGTGTCTGCAGCAGGGGGTCGCAAGAGAAATAGCACAATTCGTAGGGGAAGTATTTTCTACATAAATTATTAGTAGACTCTAAAATCGATTAAAAAAACCTTTGAAACCCCTAAATTTTTAAAATTGTTAGAGGCTTTTCCCCCAGAATCACTTTCGAAACCTTTTAATCGAAGCTTTACCACGTCTGCTTTGCTTCGTTTCTTTTGAGAAATCTGACACCTCGCCGGGGGCATCGGACTCTATGGCTATGTTCACACACACGGCGTAAGACTGGCGTGGCTTACGCCAGGCGTAAGCTAATCAACGGATTAAAATTCCAAAGTGTTCACACAAACGGCGTTCGTTACACTAGCAGT